CGTAGGTACGCGACCGGAATCGACGAAAATATCACGCGAGAAAAGGTGCGAACAACCGTTCCGCCGTAGCGCAAATTGCAAAAGTTTTCAGCGACGCGCTTCTAACTTGTTAAAAAAAATTACGAAAAAAAGAATTGTTGTTCGAATTGCATAATTGGCGACGATCGTAACGGACTGCAACCAGTTTTTCGAGCCTTTCGAGCAGCCCGTGCGCCGACGAGATATCAACGGCGTTAATAATAGGAAAAACAGGAGTGGACCACCCAGGTGGATCAGGTAGCAATCCCTCGTCTACCCTCGTGTCACCTCCCTCGTCTTCTCGTAAAAATGACAAAACACTTTTATCGAGCCGGAGACCCTCGACTCGCGTCTTTCGGTGCTTCAAACAAATTCAAACACTTTTGAAACGAAGAAAATATAAAAAGTGTTGAATAGAATATCCAAATGTGTACGATCGCGTGGAAATTATTTTGATGAATTGTTTCGACACCAACACGGAGGGAAATTGTATCGAATTCGATCGTGATGGAAGATAATTATAAAATCAGAGGCGGGGGGAGGTGGGGAGAGGGCAGAGAGAAGACAATGTCTTGGTAGAGAAGCAGATTGAGATTCGGAGAGCAGCGGAGAGAATCGATCGCGACCGCGATACGCGTAATCTAGGTCAAATAGCAAATCGTTATTTAATCGTAGATTAAGGATCGGTACTAATCGAAACAAACACTGCTCGATTGCGCACTTGTGTTCCAAAGGGGATCGAGGCGGGTGTGATTTGTTGTAACGAAGAATACCGTATGTTAGCGCGCGCGCGCACCCAGCCGCTTGGCACAATGTAGCCACTTGTTTACAGGGACAATATTTTCATTCCGCAAACAATTGGTGGCTCGATAAAGACCCGGTGTACAGGTGGGTGCTCGGATCTAACGTTGTAACGCGCCGCTCGCCCGTTCGTGAACGCCTCTATGTGTGTGTTTACGAATCTCTCGAGTAAAGTATTAGCCGACTCTAAACGCTCGAATCATCGAGAGTTGTATGCCTTCGATTCGTCAGCTCGTCACGGTCGCCTCGTTGCGCCGTTCGCGATATTTCATCTTCCTTTCCACCCTTCTATATTTATTGCTATTTATCTACCATGGCGGTTTTTTCTTTTGCGCGATCGTCGCAACATTGCGTTTCATCCCGCGCAGACGGGCCCGTTTAATGTCTCGGACGAGTGGGTGGCAATAAAAAGCGAAGGAAAACCCGAGATTCGTGTTTAAGGGTGGGCAACTAGGAAAGAAACAATGGCGGCGGGTAACGCGTCCCGCAGAGATAATCCTGCGGTGTTTACGATCGAGCAACCGCAAGAACGAAAACAAACGACGGTCTCATCGGGGTTAAAGTCCACTGTTACGGTCGCTGCGGATAATAAGCGGTGCTAAAGTGACTGTAAACCGAGATTTGCTGGTCGCCGAAGGGACGATACGCGGCCTGGCGTCTACTTACTTACTTAACAGAGTTCGATTTTCACAGATGTTACTCCCTTTTCGTTTTCTCCGTCGGAAATCGCCGGATTACCTTGTAAATCTTTGCGGGTCTTTCTCGTTCGAGCGAATTCTATCCGGTTAAATTTAATACGGGCACCGAGGTATGCAACGCGACTTTGATAATTGAACGTCAATCGTACTTTTCTGCTTGCTTCTTGATCAGATGTTCGATTCAATCGCGCCAGCAGATATTCGGAAACGGTCTATTCGAACAGGGAGGGCTTTTAATCGTTGGTCACTGAACAAGATACAAAGGGCGACCGACAGCGAATCGATAAAATACCTCGTTCACGATCCACTCTGCCTTCTGTGGACGCGTGGAGGCAAGATAGATGATCCTGTTCGGCTGTTAATTCTATCGTGGTGAACTACAATTTCAGGGTTAATTGCGCCGATCGCAGGGCAGATGATGGGAATACCACATTTTTGTTTAAATTAATCGAAAATAGGCAAAAGTATCGCACGATACGATGCTCGATGAGCCGCATTGTGTTTGGGATTCGGCGCCAATGCAACTGATAAGTGATATTTCACGATAACAGTAGCCGTATGCATTGATCCGAAACGAAACGCAGCGCTTTCGAAAAGTGGAAGAATCGTTCTCTCACGATTTCAATATAAAAATGTTCACGTTGTAGATATTACCGTGACGGCTTAATCGATGGTCAAAAAAATTAATTTCTCGCATAATGGATCGCGGAACGATACTTGTAGGCGCGAATATAAAATAATTTCGCTCCGCGGCCGGCTTTTAATTAAAGGAGCGAGCAATCTGCGAATCGTTCGCCAATTTCGACGCGGTACGTGGCTTCCGCGATTACCGGCCCTTGATCCAACAGCAGAAGCGTTTCGCGAGCGTGTTTGCAGAGCGTATTAAGCCGCCGGGTCGCCGCGGCTTAATAAAGTTAAAAATGCACTTCGCGGCGGACGCGCGATAATGATAACTTCGCCTCGCTAGAACGAAAGAAAAAGCCCGGCCGAACGAGTCGATTCTTTCAGGGACGCGATTTTTAATTGCTTCCGACCGTTGCGCCCGTACCCCCCTCCCCGTCGATCTTTTCTCGCGAGCAAGAAGAGCGAAACGTTTGGCTCCCAATTTCGTGGCAGCCTGTTTTGTAAATTTGCGTTGCTGTAATGAGGATCAAACGCGGTGTGCTCGCGAATTCAACAGAGGTTATTCGAACGAGATCGGTGTCCTTTACTATTTTTTATAGAAGCGATTTCTTATGTTAAGTACATAATTTAAAGCACGTATTCGTTAACTCAATGTATTCATATCTTTATGTAAGATGCCTGCCTAACATTTGAAAACGCTTTTCCAAAAGCAAGATCAATTTTAAACGAGCGTTACACAAATATGCATTCGTAAACGGTTTGCGCACTCGATAATTCATGCGGAAACTAGCAACGATTTATCCAGGACCAACACGATGTTTAATTCACCGCTGAATAAGGATCATGACGTTCATTGTGTGCCGTTTCGTATTCTGTAAAATTATCAACGCACACACGCGGTTCGTTCTTTATCATAAATAACTGTCCAGTTTCGTTCGAAATCTCGCTGAGTTTTGAACATCGGAACTAATTTTCCTTTTCTTTGGCACTGTTCAGTGAGTACCGTGCGTTCCGACGGCTCCAGAATTTCGTAGACTAACGTCCGTCGCTACGTTTTTTCTCACGTAATTGCTACGAATGTTCATTTTTCAAAAGACAAAATCATCAAAATTAACGTCTACGATTCGATGCGTCGATCTGCAGTTTTAAACTTCCGTCGGTGGAAGTAGCGAAGAGATTTTGGATGTATTGGGTGGGCCATCGTTTACCAGACACTCTTTGTAATCAACGTAACGTTGGTCTTGGTCCTGATTACAAAAGGATTACGAGACGAGGCTGTTTCGCAAATAAACTGTCCTTGTAGATAAAGAATATTTGGAACACGAGTTTCTTCGAGGACGACGTAAGTTAAATTTGTGTTGCTTAAATACGTACGATAAAAGACAGCTGATAAGTTTTCGCAAAGAATCCGCGATTTGAAAATGGCTAAACGAAGAAGAGGTAATCGCGAGGAACCTTGCGAATGGCGTTGCTGACAAAACGAAGCGATGGTGGGAATCGCGTCGATCGGATCGCGTTAAGCCAATTAAATTATCCGCCGAAAATCCGACCTCTTTTTATTACGCGCGTTTAATATTCATGGAAGTCGCTACGAGGATTTAACGCGCGGCCCGTTGGACCATTGTATAATTAACAAAAATGCGTTTAAAATGTTGGAAACGGTAGGAAATATTGTATCGAATATCGGTGACTTTGTTCAGTTTTATCAAACGGAGAAAGTATCTTTTTTTCCACGGCTATTTCGGGGCAGAAATGCGAGTTATCAAGCGGCGATTTTAGGGCATTAATTCGATCATAACGGTTAAATATCGCGTATAATTTATAGCTGTTTGCAGATGCGGTTGGACATTAGATTTGTTTAAGTTATTAATAATACATAAAATATTGTCTATCGAATTAATATTTTACTTTGTGGTTATACTCGTGTTCCATAGATACATACGAGTTGAAAACGTATTAGTAAGTTGTCAGACACTGGAAATCAGTGTTAATTACGTTCGGAAATTCTACGAAGCGTGTTTTGCACGTGACGGGGCTTACGAAACCGATTTTCGCGACGAAAATTAGAGAGGTTTTAACCAACAACAACGAACCTGGTCGTTCTCCGCGGCGTGACTGCACCAGGATCGATCGTCCTCGTCGTGTTGCACGATTCCTCGGGAAAAGTCATCCGCGTGTTCGGGGTGCGAGCGCCGCGAGGCGAAAACGAGCTGGCGACCGAACTCGAACTGTAGGAGCCGCGAAAAAGCCGGATGCGGCGTAGTGATAGACAGAGAGAGAGAGAAAGAGAGAGAAAGAGTGAGAGAGTGAGGAGGAAGTAGATAGAAACAAGGGGGAGGATGCAAGAAACAGCGGTGGCGAAAGTAAAGCAGAGCGGAGAGAAAGAAAGCGGCGGGCGAGCGTCGGCGTCGGAGGACGCGCGTGACGGCGCGATAGGTGTCAAACGCGTGGCAGACAGACAGTTGACATGACATGGGAGAGCGCGGAGGCGACGCGTCGGGACGCGGGCGTCGAGCGTTCGGCGTCGTTGTCGGGCGTCCTGGGGGCATTGCGCAAGCGGCGCGGCGTTTTCCGCAGCTGCGCGCTCGTCCCGTTCCCGAGCCGACCATCCAGCCCGACCGGCCGCTCGCATTATCACGCCACCGATTCACCAGATACGAAGGGGATACACGACCGTACCCCTGAACCGGGTCCGATTGGTCGTCGTCGGAGGGTGGAGGGGCCAGCGGGCAGGGGATTGGCCGGCAAGGGAAAAACAGGCGCGGCGGAATCGTACGGGAGTGGGACGTGTTTGAACAAGATCGGGAGACTCAAGAGTAGCGGAGTATACTCGCTAACCGGCCTCCATCCACACGGCACACAGAGAGACAGACTGGTGAATGAGGGAGAGTGGAGGTGAGGCGACTCAAACAGGCCCCGCTCAAACAACCGGACCGCGTCGCTCTTGTGTGCGAAGCCCGTGTGGTGGCCGCGCGACCAGCGCCGCGTCCTCCTCCGAATCCGCTTTCGCGTAGTCTAGTCGCGTCGCGTTGTCGAAACAACGATCGCCCGGTCAGTTTCTGGAGACACGAGTGCTTTCGACCGTATCTGGGGCCCCCCCGTGACAATCGGGACCCGTGACAGAGATATTCGGTGCGCGCGGGAACGTCTGTGAACGTCACGGAAAACGTGTTTTGTCCGGGTCGTTTGGTGAAGTTTTTGGTGGATCGTATCGAACACCGAGGAACGAAAGGTTACGCGCCGGAAGACAGTGACGGGTAAAGTGCGCGTCAAGTTGAAGACCGCGACTCTGTGCTAGGATCAGTGATCATCGAGTGCGAGGTACAGGAACGGTGATAGGATTCTCGATCACGGGGAGAAGATTAAGGGAGCGTCGCATTACCAACAGCCGTGGTACCGCGGTTTTCATGATTCCCGTTTGACAACGAGACAACAGCCCGCCACCCCGGCACCAGTGAGCTCTATGACCATGCTCCATTCACAGAAGTCGCTGTACGGCGACGCCTGTGGCTTAGGCGGTGCGATGACCAGCGCTGCGATGTCCACGATGGGCAGCATAGCGCCAACGTACAGCTCGATAAATACGGTGGGCTGCGTGTCGATGGGTATGTCGATGGGCGTTGGAGTTGGCCCGAACTGCAGCCCGCAAGGCGCCGGTAGTTTCAACATGAGCAGCATGAGCTCGGCCATGGGGATGGCCTCTATGGGCGGCGGTGCCATGGGAGGTTATGGGAGCACCTCGATGGGCGGCGATGGTGCCTGTATGACCGCCGTCAGATATGGTCCTCTAACGCCAGGTGGCGGACCCGGGATCAGCAGGGATCCTCTCTCCTTGACGGAGCCGGATTCCCCGAATTCCGCGTTGCAACGCGCTCGAGGCGTGGACAAATCGTACCGCAGAAATCTGGCGAGCACGAAACCACCCTACTCGTACATCAGCCTGATCACCATGGCTATACAAAACGCGCCCACCAAGATGCTCACTCTGTCCGAAATCTATCAGTTTATCATGGATCTGTTCCCGTACTACCGACAGAATCAGCAGCGCTGGCAAAACTCTATCAGACACTCGCTCAGCTTCAACGATTGCTTCGTCAAGATTGCCCGCACCCCCGACAAGCCAGGGAAGGGTTCCTTTTGGTCGCTGCACCCCGACAGCGGAAACATGTTCGAGAACGGTTGCTATCTGCGCCGACAGAAGAGGTTCAAAGACGAGAAGAAGGAACTCACCAGGCAAACGAATAAGCATCAGCAGCACCACAATGGCGCCGCGGTTGCAGCGGCGGCGGCTGCGGTTGCCGCCGCCGGACACAACAGTCCTACGTCGCACGATCTGGTCCACACAGGTAAGAAGACCCCGTCGTCTCTTCACCACGGGCCCCAGCAACAGGACGAGAAAGATTTGCATTCGTTGGTGTCTTCGCATCATCACCATCACGCGGCCAGTTTGCATCAACACCACGCCGCGTTGAAGAGCGACGCGACGGACATAGGGGGTCTGCTGGGCCCGGATTTGGGCGCGGCGCACGACGAACTCACCGCCATGGTCAGTCGTAGTCTCCATCCTCACCTGATCTCCGACCCAGCGGCCCTCCATCACGGAATGCCGGGCAGCCTGAAGCAGGAACCGCCGTACACTGCCGCCAGCCATCCCTTCAGCATCACCAGGTTACTGCCGGGCGCCGCCGGCACGTCGCCCGGCGCCCAGGACATCAAACCGCCCGAGATGAAGATGTACGAACAGCTGCATCAAAGCTACGCGAACTTCGGCTCATCGCATCATCCTCACGCGCACTCCGCGCCGCCCAGCCATCATCATCACAACGGGATGCACGTGGGCTCGAACGCCGCCGGACCTATGCACAACATGACCAACCATCACCATCAAGAGTATTACCAGAGCCCGTTGTACCATCACGCGACCAGCGTGGCGAGCAGTAGCGCGCCCCCGCCGCCCTCCGTCGCCACCGCCGCACCGGGCTTGTGACATCACGCTACCCACCCCTACACCTTGGCCTGAGTCGTTGCAGCCGCGGCCTATGCCGCTAACGCTGCACCCGACGTCCCTTCGACCACCGCTAATTCCTCCGTTCTACCCTCTCACCATCCATCGGCCTCTTCGTCCTCCTCCTCGTCATCGTCCTCTTCCTCCTCGCAGCCGACAGTATCCGCGTCTCCGTCCGCGTCCGCGTCCTCGGCGTCGCTGCAACCGTTTATGCTCGATCAGCGACGTCGCGGACGCTGCGAGGACAACGAACCCGACGCATGCTGGCCCGACTACGTCGAAGGGGAAGAGGACGACGACGAGGAGGACATCGTCTGAGCTATCGCAAACACCAGCAACTTGGACTCCGAGGTACGAGGAGGCGCCCGAACGCAGCCGCGAGTGTTGGTTGGGGGGCTGTTCAGGCGGAAGGTGCGTGGGCGGAAGGGACGTCGCGACCGGGTCCGCGAAACGGGGGTGATTTAAACCGACGGCACGAGTCGGACAGGCGTTTCATTCGGTGTACTTACGAACAGGATGTTCCGTTATTCGTGGCACAAATTGGCTAGATTGTACGCCTCGAAACCATACGAAAATTAACAGTAACGAAATTGCGTAGACGGCTTCGTTTTTGAGAACATTTTATGTAAATACACTCGAGGAGGTACACCACCCACATGGCTCATAAAAACAGGTGAATTTTAAGTTTCTTTCCTAAGGTAATTATTACTTAGCGGACAAGTATTCCCCGTATAACACGGGTATGTTGAAATGTATAGAGTTAAGTTCGAAAAATTAACAAAAGTACACTATTGTTTTCACAACTGGAAGAAGTATTTTTGTTAAACGAGAGTGTCATCTCGGTTCGCGATCCAAAGTATCAACAACCTCTCGGTATTTCTATGTTTCGTGTATCGTTTCTTCGATAGAGACTATTAGTTGGGAAACGAAGTCTTTTCAAGCAATTTCTTTATTCTCGATTTTCGGCTTGTTTCGAGCCATGCAATCTGCCTGTCGCGGCGCGTCGAAACGCGTCGGTTTTCTGTGATACGCGACAACGATGCACGAGACGATTCTTTTTTAGCGCGGCTGACCTCGGAGTCTACGTCGTTCCTTTCCACGATGAAACGCGTCGTCCACGAGCCGAACGATACGTTTCTTTCGCAATACACGAGTGCAATTTCCTTCCTCGGAGGGAGGAAGTTGGGCGAACGAAGGAAGGAAAGCTTTTCGAGGCTACGAAGCGCGACAAAATTCTTTCCTTTTTTATACGTAGCGATAGTTTACTTGTTACGAGACTGCGTTTACGCGATGTTGGAAGTTGAGTGTGTTTGGTCGTTGATGGAGTTTGGGGACGATTAACCTCGATCGAGCGCGTTATTTGCTTTTAATATGGATCCCAACACTTTTATTTTTCTATTCAGGTTGCCGAAATTATCTTCCCGAAGGCATTTCTCCGATTCTTTAGTCCGTGTAGGATGTGTTACTTTCACGATCCCCAGAATAATTTCTGACTCACGTTTATGTTCCTTCGTGACAAAGAATATTGTCAACAATCGCTAGACGAGCGTTTATCGACGCGTAGATTGATACTAGGAAACGATAGCAAAGGTCTTTGTAGGATTATCTGTTCCTTCGACGACACACGTCTCTTTTACCGGTCGTTGATCTCGATTTCTCTGTTCTCGACTATTGCCACTTATCGCCGTGCAATTGCGTATGCGCGTTTACGACGGAAAGTTTGTTAATTCGACAATTAGGCTTTATCGGGAATCGAGATCCGGGCGAGAAGTCACGATCGCTCTGTGAATTTTAAACAGGGTGTTCGCGATTCGCTCGACGATGTAACAGTTTCCTCTGTTCTCTTTTTTTTAAGCAAACATTTATTAAAAGGGCAACCATCGTATTACGTCGAACACGTCGAGGATTTGCTTTCTATAGAAAACTCGCCCTGCCAGTGGAAAAAATACAGTTTCGAAAAAAAAACACACAACTTTTTATTACGCTACTGCACGCCTGTTATTTTTACGGATCGAAGTAAATGGCTCTGCACACGTATTTTCGAAATCTTTTACTCGAAGGAAATGAGTACCCCTTTAACGGCATGCTGCAACTTCTAACGGCGACGCGACGCAACTTTAGCGATTCAGATTGCGAACACTTCGAACTGTCACGCACAAAAATCTCGATCTCTCTTCGTTAGGAGAGGATCGCCGGATTCGGCTTTGCGCCTCGATCATCGCCGAGAAATCGAGAAGGAGTAAATGAGATAATGATGGGCGGAGAGCGAAAAAATGTGATAACCCGTGAGAATAAGTCTAAATTAATGAACATAGGCTTGTAAAGACGCCTGTAACCCCGCGTAGGGGCACGCATTCGTACGTGCATTGTACTCGAAACACTTCCGAATAGACATAAACACGAACGTTAACATACATACACGCACACACCGACACAAAAATCGTAAGAATTTTGTTGAGAGCGTCGCGCAGGACACGTCCAGTGTTTTTGTATGATACGTGTAGATAACCGCATAACGTAAACGCGTATGATTGTACAATATTATATATGTTACAGAGAGGTATATATATATATATATGTATAAGTATAAATATAAATATAAATATAAATATAAATATAATTATAAATACAAATATAAATATAAATATATAAATAAATGGAGTCTTTAACGATACACTATGTTAGGTATACATATATATATATATATATATATATATATATATAAAAATATATATAAATATATATATGAATATATATAGGGAGGGAGGAAGAAAGAGAGAGAGAAAGCGAGTGAGTGCAAGAGAGAAAAAAAGTGTGTGTCAGAAGAGAAAATTGTACCGCGCGTTTCAAAAGCAGCTCTCGAACAGCTGGAGGTCCGATATCGTTCCAGCCCTTGTTCTGGAGGGTTGCCTTTGAAACACGCCCCTCCGAAGAGACGGCCTGTAAATAGAGAGACGAAGCCAGGGAGCAGCGTGCATCGCGAAAGATCACTGATCGTTGTAAATCGTCGGGTACCAAAGCTCATAGATTTCGTTGTTCGCATCCGCTCCATTCGTCCGTTAATTTTTCTCGCTGTTCCGTTCGCGAACGGCACACGCCACCGACGACAGAACGCTCGTACCCCGTAATGGGGAACGAAGAAAATCTCGAAATCTCGTCGTCACGTTCACGCTTTCATTGTTCCTGTGCATTTCGGCAATTTCTTCGCTCGTTCACGAGATCTCGGCCTTTTAAAAGCAAATTTCCGCGCTGCCACGATGGCGTTCGAAAAAACTATTAACCGTCGGAGTTCCGTTTCGCGGGACCTTTGAAAAACGTTCGACGGATGAACAGCACTTTCTACTTGATCCATTTCGAGTCGCCGCTACGGATACGTTTTTCAGCGGTCGTTTCGGGCCGGATAAAAAAAGAAAATGTTCTCGAATCATGTTGTTCTCGAAGCGATCGGTCGTTCTGTGGCTGGATTGTACATACACATACGTGCGGGCGTGGATCACGCGCGAGTGCGGACGGGTCTCTGTCGCTAAACAGAGCCACGAGAAACGACGCGAGCAACCGAGAATGTAAATGTTTCAATAAATCCACGTATTTCTACGAAAGTTCTCTGTTCGTCGAGATTTACCTGTTTCTCTTGATCCCGATCTGTATCAATCCGCTCCCTCTGTCCCACTTGTCTAGATCGCGCGCAACTTCCTTTTTAATCAAAGACAACGAGCATTGATGGTTTATACGAATCTTTTGTATTGTTTGTGTTTGTTAGCGGAAGAATCGCTTGCCAGTTTATTGTAATCTCACGATTTCAGATACGATCAAATACGAAACGCGCGTGTAGCATTCTGTTCGGATAAGTAGGTGGATTAAAAATAAGATAATGCCACAGTACGCGTAGACGAATGTTTCGAATAGGCGTTCTAGAGAAATTCGTTAAAAAAAATTGATCTTCGGGGTAGAAATAAACGTGGGTATTCGTGATCTCTAAATTTATTTTGCAACTGATTTTGTTAGACATATTTGTTTGTATTTTGTGAAAGGTAACCGAGATATCGTACATTTTTATATGATTTACGCGTCCCCCATAATAATCCTTCTCGATAAAAAGTTAACGTTTGCGTGTGTGTTCAGTTTACCGGGGGCAGCTACATCGTATTCAGTGTTAAATTATTTCTAAACACCCGGGGCATCAACTTTGTAGCGAGAAAACTGAGTTTTCTCTTCGAGTCGGGAGTACTAACAAATTCGTGTCAATATTTGACTTCCATTCGTTTGGACGGGCACTCGTGGCGATTCTCATTGACTCGAAGCTTTTTATTGGATGATCCAGATCGAGTGTCTCTTGCGAACGTTCTAATCTGTGTATGTAATCGATACGCGCTCATTAATTACGGATTTGCTTGGTTAGCCGACGGATACGGTCGCGTAAAAATCAGTTGATCCAGACGGACAATGTCGGTCCGATAGACGACGATTCGTACGTCGGATTCGCGATAGAAAAATTGTGCCTCTTGCCCACTTCTTCGTTAACGTCTGGTCGTATTTGGGTTTTTAGTTCCCTGTTCGGCAAACAAGGTTTTAATCGGGAGGGATGATCGACAAATCAGGATTATTCGAACGAACGTGTTTCCTGGCATATTGATTTTCTGTTAGCAGATACCATCGTGCCGACCGAATTTACGGCCATGGTGTTTTTATTATCTTATCTGGCTCGTTTACGTCACGCATTAAAAGTTCTTATTTCGCCTATCTTGCTTTTATTAGCCTTAAATCGGCGTTGACGTTGGATAGTTTCAGTAACAGGGGAATTGCCGATGGAACTCGTTCTTGATACGTATGCACCAAAATGGGGCAACGTTTCGAGCAACTTTCTTAGACGATAATGTTACGAGAAACAACTGTTTGGACCTATGGTCGTTGAACACTCTGTATTACATGGTTAGTCCAGCCATTATATTGGGTACGCGTGTGTATCTTGTAATTGTACCTTTGAGTTATCATACGGTTTTACTCTACTATACCGTCTCGTAATTTCCAACGGTTGTCAAACAATCAACAGCCATGCAAAGATGGTAAATCCGCACGGAGTCGAATCCGGGGCAGCGTAACGAGTCTTAGTTAACGGTTGGACAATCGAGGTGCAATCTCCCGCGGATTATTCGGCATGATACACAGGCAGATATACATTGAGAGGTACTACAAACCTGTGTATCTCGCCAATATTTGACTAAATCATGAACAATGTTTGATTGTACACAGCCGCTTGGGTGCGCGAGCGCGCGTACGCGAGCTCGTTCGATATAGGCTCCTCGCAGTGCCGGCGTGGAGAGCGGCAAAGTATGCGCGAGAGGCAAAGAAGGGGGCGTTTGAGGAGGTGGGAGGGGTTGGGACGACATAACGAGACCGAGCGAAGCGAAGAACGGTGCACGGTAAGGTGGAGAGAGAACGCGGGGGTAGCGAAGAAGGAAAGCGTCGTCGAGCCCGAAGGAAAGAAAGCGAGGGTGGATCTGTAAGATAGAGAAGGGTGGAGGTGGAAAAATAGACGCAAGAAACCTAGACGGGGGGGGGAAAAAAAGCTGCGAAGAACGGGGCAACGAGGGGTAAAAGGAGCGTGGAAGAAGGAAAGGGTGATTGTGAAAGATACCGGCAAAGGGAATCGCGGTGACGAACGCTGGACGAAAGGTGGAGTAAAAGGGAAAGAAAAAGGGGCGAAAGGGAGACGGGAAAAGAGCGGAAAAAACGGGAAACGGTGAGCGCGAAGGAGGGAAACCGAGCGCAAGAGGGAGATACGTCGATGGCGTATGGAGGGGAAAGCTGCTTGCGTGCCCCGTGCTGCTTGGTGGGGGGTTGAACGAGGGAGTGGGGGTTGAAGGGCCGTCGTGAGGAGCTCGCGACGGGAGGGGAGACCGATATCGACGGAGAGGAGAGCCAAGCCGGACGGTCGTGTGCGTGCGTGTACGAACGCTCTCCTATCTTGTACCTCTCTCAACGTCGGAACTCCTCGCGAGGGCTGCTCCGAAGGAGGATACGAAGGGCAGAAGCCCCTCGTATGGAATTTAACGCTTCATCGACTGGTTCTGGCTAGAGGCATACGACGGTAAGCGACGTTGTTAATTCGAGGATATTAATACTACGTATGATTTAAATAATGGACATTGGAGTTGGTATACGGTTTAGCAGGGACCGATAGCAACGCGTTAAATCTCTTTAAACATATAATAGATAGTAACACTAATTTTCCCAGCATCTGCCTTTATGAATATAATTCAGCCCAAATTACGAGCTACCTGTTTACCCTTAGTCACTCATAACCAGTCCCGACGAAAGACTTCATTTTGACAAGGATAGTTTCTCGTTTCATGTTATTTTTAATATTTTTAACATTTATCTTTCTAATATTACCATGCTCCGTTATCGTTCGATACTGCTCGTAGCACCGTAGTTTTGCCCTTTCGATATCGATAGGCGGTTTCACGGTTCGCGCGAATACGTGGCTGCATTGCGTCGCCTGTATGCAGATATTTGCACGAGCGTACATGTACACGCAGTGTTAGTCAGGCTAATTTTCAGCTTCGTTAATTTATGGTTGCGCAAGCGTGAATTTCGCGTCGCCAGTAAAGGCGAAGAGTCAAGGCTCGCGGAGAATCAGTGACAAGATGTCTGGCTGGAGAAGCACCGATGCGATTCGGTGCATCAGTCATCCGTGGAATAATATTTTCTCTAACAAACTATCGAAACACGTTTCGATCGTGCAATTACCCGTAGCTCCTAAGAGCAGCATACGATTTAACTATACTCCCTTTTCGTAGGACAGTTTTATTTTGCTTACGTATGTATTATAGTAAACGTTCATATTATCGTTCACAGACTTGTTGCGATATAGTTATATCGTATGACTAATACTCCGATTCGTGGCATTGTTGTTCTTGCAATTACGCGAGAAACAACGATTAAAATCCTTTGATTATCGCAAGACACAAAATCACAATTCGCGGAGACGCCGTGTAATTATCAGTTACAAGTTACTGCTACTAAAATATATCATATATATTATAGTTCGCGTAGAATTCTTACTGTCCAAACTAATTGGATCGATACTTAAACGATCGCAATCTTTTCCAATTACGCTACTACAGACGACACAATCACAACTTGTACGATTGATACCGATATAATTATAGAATATGTTTTCATAGGTGTAAGATTAAAATACGTACTGTTCGAATTCGCAAGATCGTCGGGTACGCGATCGCAAGCAACGTTGATACAACAGAAACTATGTTTATTTAATTTTTTGAATTTACTAACATTGTCTTCGTTTAGAGAAATAAAGCATTGTAGATATCGCGGATAGCTAAGCGCCAAACAGACGATTGAATAATATCAGATAAGAGATATCTACTTAACGCCGACTCTTGAGTGCAGTATGCCGATCTCGATTTTTCCCGCTCGTTAGATTTTCGCGTAAACGAACGCTGTACAACTGTCTATTGTATACGTCGACTCGATATGGACG